TAGGGTGCAGGATTTGTGCATGCTTTCTAAGATAGAGTCAGAACACATTGCTAGCCTATTTCCCTTTAACTTTCATCATGTCAAGTGGAACACCACACAAAAGGTATTCCAAGGTTGCTCCTATTCTAATGCTATGTCCAGTCATTTTTGGCTGACCTGTGGCCAGCAAGGCTTTGTTGATGGTGGTAGAGAACATTTTTTGGGTGAGTGGGGTTGGAGTTAACTTTGTGTTCCGTTTGTGATGGTAGGTGAAGATGTGTTATTGTGGAGATGGGTTGTTGATGGTGATATGGTTATTCCATGCGGTGTTTGGGTCGCTGCGCTGACCAAGACACATCTTCTCCCATGGGTGATGATTTTGTCCTTGGTAGTCTAAAGACTATGGATATGAGACCATTGCGGTCTGTGTCTTTCCACACATTATTGATAGAAGGGTGAGAGGCAGGGTCAAAAGCTGCGGTGGTTAGTACTGTGAACTCTCCCAGTCTGAAGGCTGTGTAAAAAGTGGTTGTGAGGCACGCAAATACTGTAGCACTTAGTGGGTCTGCAAGGTCAAGTTGTGTTTTTATGATGTTTATCATCTCAACCGTGAATGGGAGACGGGCAGATTTCTTAGAATGAGGAGGTGTCAGGTTGGCTGCTGCTGCCATTAGAGTGTTTAGTCTATCCTCCTGTAGTGACCAATTCAAGTTATTTAATATATTCCAAGCCCAAGCACCATATAAGTAGTTGTTTATGGTCTTGTGGGAATAAGTTTTGGCCATGCAGAAAATGAATGTTTCGATAAGATGGATGCTGGCAGGGGCTCATTCTGGTTCTGGGATATTATGCATATCACAGAAATGTATGGTATATGAGCAGTCCAGAACCATAGGCCTTTTGGGTTGATTGTGTCCAGGCATTGATTATGACTTGACATGTTCTGTCGTTGTTATTGTCAGTGTGAGTGGTTGGGTTTTAGGCATGTGGAAATTTGTAAGTTGTGATGAGTTGTCCTCATTGAATTCTGATGCAAGCTCTGAGGGAAGTTTTTTACCTTGATAAAATAGACACCCTCCAATTTGCTTGCAGCCGCCATTTCTTTCAATTTCTTTGGCCCATTGAGTGCGCAAGACATTATATTGCTCGAGATAATGAGTAGGTATTCAGATAAAAACGTGATCGTTGACCCATTTAGCTACCGGACCTATTCCTTTTGCACTGAAAATGTCTGCGCCTGCATCTCCAATTTGGCCGTATAGTCCTGCAGAAGAAGCGAGGCCAAAGCAGGTTGCCGTGTCAATGGCGAAGGAATCAGGTCCTGGTAGGCGTACTACCAGGCCTGGCCATTGATCGGGAGTGATGGGTATTATGCGGTAGGCTTCAGCAACATCACGTATGACACCTTAGAATCTCAAACTTTGAACAGGCAGTGAGGTCCGCAAAAACACCTGTGTATGCTAGACATAAGTTGATACACATGTGGTGTACAACTGAGCCTACCCCACTTAGATCAGCGATATGATGTCTAACTTTCTCATAAGATAACATCCCACTGTCAAAGGACTCCTCTGCAGACTTAGTTGTACATTTCTTGTGATGCATTGTTGGTAGCCAGGAATATATCTATGGACAGAAGAAAGTCGGGGTCATAAATTTTGAGAGGGTATCATGGAGGATTTCAAAGGCTTTGTAGACTGCCTTCACCAGAACATTGTCATTGTCAAGTGTTGCATCATTTAGGGCATAGATATACTGTAGAGATATTTGAATATTGTCAAGTTGAACAGTTTCCAAGAGCTCATTGAGGTCATGCACTAGGCCCTTCCATGGACCTCGGAAGTGAATGGGTGACAGTAGAGGATGAAAGGTAGAGAGGAGTATATTGGATATATGATCTGAACATTTTCTAAACTTTATTATCTTCATTTTGATCCTAGATACTAGACTTACATATAATCTTTATAGTACAAGTTTTTCAGTTCCAGCTGTGGGAAACTCTTTCCTATTATAGACACAAATCTTCGGAATTTTCCCTTCCACTTTTATGCTCGGTTATGGGACTTTGACACCTTAGTCTTTTGTTACTAGACTGAGGTGAATACTTACAGTAGATATCATTTTCATTACTGACAAAATACCTAGAAATAACTCCAATAGAGTAATGGTCATTCAGAGAGGGACTGGAAAACTTAGAAGAAGACTTGGATAAAAGGTGGAGGAACTAGTTGATATTCAAACTGCAAGAACGGAATACAGGAGCTACGGCTTATATACTATTGGAGGGATTGGAGTTCATAAGGAGTAGCCCATAATGTAGGTATAGAGTTTGACGCAGACAATTATCTAGCAAAGGGAAATTATATGTGAGAGGAGTGTACCATAAGGTCTAAATTACAGAGTCCATTAGGAAATAAAAATGTGCAGAGAAAATGTGTGGTGGACTGGAAGTCCTGTTACAACCAAAAATTTTATACTCTGACACACAGAAAGAACAAGCAGAGAGGAGTGAGCGAGAGAGTGGATAAACTCCCTTAGGTTTAGGACTGAGTTAGTTGTGGGTAAACAACAGGAGGACTCACTGAGGAGTCTCCTTGATCTATTGAGGTTTATATGCATCTACAGACTATTTGTAAATGTATACTATACAGTCAATGAAGGCAGTGGCTAATGATGTCATAGGGCATAGCCCATGTGACCAGCTCCACTGCGTGAGAAATTTGTAGCTAAGAATAAAGAAAAGCAGTGCAGTGCAAGAAAGTGGAGTTTGAACAAAATGGAAAGTGCCACATGGCACAGTGTGTGAAAACTACAAAAGAAAGTTATAGTGGAGAATGAAATTTAAAGGTCTGAAAATTGTGTATCGTAACAAGTCTGGTGCAGCAGGGCTATGCCAAGCGGCAGAGCACAAGAAGTGTAATTCCGAGAGTACCGAAGATTCGGGAGTTTGGACTTGGGGATCTCTGACTTTTTGGAGGTCCCGAAACCATAGCCTGTTACATAGATATGACACAAGCCAGCAGTGTCAGTATGAGGACCAGGACTCAGAGGCAGAGTATGCATCTCATTGGAGGGAGGTGGGGTGACACCTTGTGGCTGGTGGTGAACATGGTCATCCGAGTTTCTTTCATCCCCATCCTTGCACTATCATCCACTATAGTATTGAAAGCATAGGGTTAGGGCTAAGCCGCCGTGCGAGAAATTGGCTCAGTCCAGTATCAATATTATTCATATAAACGACCTTGTACACCAACGTCAACGTTTTTCAACCACTATGTCCTCTGCCAACTGGCATGCTGAATCGGATCCATCAGAAGAGGAAACAAATCACGAATCGCCTGCAGCAAGAAAGCGAAGCAGCAGAGGTGACCATATTTACCTCGGAGGCTAAGTTCTTATTCTAACATGCGTCTTTGGGTTAGCTTGCGATCAATGCCGGAAAACAAAGAGCAAGTGCGAACCATCTCCTTCTACACTTGGCACATGTAAGAGCTGTGCATTGACAGGGAATAGTAAGTCGGTCTTGTCCATCCACCTGTACTTACTTATCTAACCCATCTCGCCACTACCCAGCATGCACTTTCCTAGGTATGTCTCGCTTGGTCAAACCAGGTGCATTCTTGTTCATTCATTGTAGGCCCCAGTTACAAACGTGGCCCACCCAAAGGCTATATACAGGCCATTGAGCAAAGATGGCATCAAGTCGAGTCTCTGTTGGGTGCAGTCATCGCCTGCTCAGACCCCAGGGTTCAGGACATCGTATCCGAGCTTCAGCAAGACGACCTCGCCCGTGAGATATTGCATAGAGTGGATGTCGGTCCATTCGTGAGTATCGTTACTTTTTCATTCGAGGCCCCATCTTTTATGGTGCTGCCAGGGTCCTTCCGGGAGACTGCATCAACCAGTTGGCGCTACTAAAGAGGAATTTTTCGCTTCCATATTTAGGAGTAACGAAGCCTCAACTCGGGATCTCGCTCGTTCCCGCAGACAGTCTCGAGTATCGCGAGAAATAGTATCTTCTGCCAGAGGTCTGCTTCAACCGTGTTCGCGTGTGCAATGGATCATTCATATCTTACAATCAGATGATGGATTGTGTACCGTCCCAACGGCGGAGTGGCAAGACCGTTTGTCCGCACGATTAGCATCCGCAGGCTCTATGTCCGGAATACGTCCTCATGGTTTGCCTGCACCATTCCAAGGTATATCTTTCCATTCGCCAACGCTTGACCCCCAAGGAGCACCGCCGTCACAACGACGCCGCTTGAATACATGTTCAGGCACCGGCCCATCGCAAGGTTACCCAGATTGGAATGACATGTACACCATGGATGCACTTTCAGGTACATTGGCTTACATGAGGTCATTGAATAGCCATTGATATTTGTTATCTGTACTGTCCTTAGATTCTGAAGGAACCGATGAGTCCAATGATCCGACTGATGCTTTTGGTCAACTATCTCTAGATGAGAACAGAGAGGTTAGTTGAAGACAGTGATGAAATACTCCCCGTTTTCATAATTCAACAGGTTCGCTATCATGGAAAGGCCAGCGGCCTTCATCTTCTGGGACGCAGCGACCGCGTTGATGACCGACATGAAGGAGGGATTTGGTTCGTCACCGCAAGCACCTTTGTGTTGCCATTGACTGAAACCGTATGCTAGGCATCTGCCCATGGCACGGGTGTGGCCACCTGCCAAAAATTATCTGGCTCACCTGCTTCCGGAAGAAGACCTCCATGTGCAGCTTCCTTCGGTCGCATTGCAGGATCATCTCGTAGAGTTGTATTTCATTTATGTACACCCAATTTTCCCTGTAATTCACAAAGGTCGGTTCATGAGGGAATATAATGCTAGGCATGTGCTTCAGTCATCTCAATGATGAGCTAAAACTGACTTCTATATTTTCATAATAGAAAATATAGGTCAGTTGCCTTCCTTCAATAGTGATGATCACCTATAGGCTTTTATTTATTCCAGTAGCAATCCCACTACTCCGGAATTCAGCGGGGATATTTCCACCTTTTCACCAAAACTGGAGCCTTCGCAGACTGTAACCAAGTTACTACTGCTGGCTATATATGCAATTGCTGCTCGCTATTCAGACGATTCCCCCCCTCCTGTGGGTAAGATGTGGGAAGTGGGATGCGATTATCTCATTGAAGCGCGTACACTTCTCAGTAAGTTGAAGTTTATCAAACCGGTCCCACTCTTTACTCAGTCATGCACACAGCCAAAGTGTTTCATAGTAGCCGTGCTTCTACATGTCAGGCCTTACTTCTTCTAGGCCATCGGGAATTTGGAATCGGTTATTTCTGTTCTCCCCCTTGGATATTCTTTACTGAAACCCAATTTGGTTAGGTTCCATGGAGCAAGGCTGGCTTTACATAGGTATATTTCCATTGCTCTGCATTTGCCTTTGCTTACTATTGGATATATCAGGGATGGCCATCCGTATGGTGAGTTTGATGGTCTTCGTTTGCAGCCACGTTGACTCTTTGTAGGCTCAGGATTTAGGGCTCAATCGTGCTGCAGACAAATGGCAGCTCAACGGTTCAGATCTGTTTTCATATGAGGAGAAACAAATTAGGAAACAGATATGGTGGGCATGTTGTGTCGCTGACAAGTCAGTCAATGTTCTGTTTTATAATTCTCTTGCTAATTGTTGCAAGGGAACAGATATGGGTCAGTTTATATGGGTATGTGCCCATTGTCGCTTGTGAACTACCAAAATCAAATTATTGTGTAGGGAGACCCGCGTGTATTGGGGAAACCGATTTCGATACTCCTTTTCCTGAAATCGATCAGGTATTCCCCATTGCACAATGATGTCGTCTGCGGACTGAGCTTACACTGTATAGGATGACGAAGAACTCTGGCAAATCCGCCCATCAGATCCTGAATATTCACACTATTCATCAACGCCCTCCAGAGTTATGAGCTGCTTCCGTGCCGCTGCTTCTCTGTGTACGTCTGAAAGTAGTTGCTTAGAGATGAATAACCGAGCATGTTCATAGCGGTAATCGTCGGGTCCATCGTGAACTTGGTTTATCCCGTGCGTCCAATTGCGCGCGTCTCTCGACGCACCATACTGGCAAACTTGGAAACTCGCCTAGATCAATGGTATATTGACCTACCAAATAGCCTCCGATATGACACAGCTAGCAAAAGAAATACTCCACCTCCACCTGTTCTCTTCCTCCACGTGCAATACTGGTCAGCAGTTCTGTTGCTCCATCGGGCATTGTGAGTAGTCACATATATTTAGCTATCTGCGTGGTTCTGATCTCTGTCTCAAGTATACCGAATTGGAAGGGGTAAGTCTGCTATGCGCTACATTGCTTCTCTGCTGACATGTTTCCAGGTCGGAGCAATTACTTCATAACTCTTCTACTGACTCGGATACTGCCTCTTTGAAAGCCTTTGATTTATGCCAGAGTGCCGCTACCTACGTTAGTACTATAGGTGCGTATTCGTGGTAAAATAGATCACTATCATCTGTAATGGCTGTTTCATCAGTAACTACGTATCACGAAAACTTCAACTTGCAACGCAGTTCTCCCTTTTTAACGTCATATTTACTGAGTGCAGGGTAGGTTTCTTATTTTTACATAATTCATAACTGACGTCCTCTTTGCAGAATAATGCATGTTGTGACACGTATGACTGTTCTATATTTCCCATCCTGTTCTCTTCTGATGGTGCTTGGATAGTAACATTACGAACATCCAATGTACAGGCCTGTATCGGTTTGCGCCAGTGTCTAACAGCTCTGAAGGAACTTGAAGTGAGTGATTTTTACCTGCGTCCATCGCCCTCCCCTAACCCGTTGATAGATAATATGGCCAAGTGCTGCTCGGGCTTGGGACCTACTTCATGGTGTAAAGGTTCAGGTCGATAGCAACTTGACGCCCTTGATACCTGGTCCCGATAGGCGCAAGAGGCCAGCAGACGACGCTTTTGGTAAGGAAAAGAGTTCAGACTTCCTTCAGCGAGAAGCTTTCGGAAATCTCGAGGAGAAAGAACTGCCAGCGCCCCAGATTGTCAACGGAATACAAGATATGAGCACTCGGATGATGGCCCACATGCTAGGTTTAGACATCCCAGGGATTGAACCTTCGACGTCATACTACCCTGGGTACGAATGGTGGCCACGTACCAACAGTCCTCAAACATACATGCAAATTCCCATTCCATTGTCTGGTGCAGCGCCCAGTGCGCTCGTGAGCTATGTTACGCAGAACCAGTCAGACTGGCGGAATAGTGCTACAATACCCAGTTATTCTTTTGATTTTCAGGATGTGACCCAACCCGCTTCCGGCCACTAGGGGTCCTGTGGGTTTATATATACTTGTTTTAGCATGCTATTAGATGTGGTATATATATGTTGTATGTAGAAACTAAGAACTGTCAACACTACAAGTAATGAATTGGTAAGTGCTGTTTGCAGTCGAGCGCTGCGTTCATGTAAGTCGGAGAGCTCTCGAGCGCGCTGAATGTCATAGTGCTCAGGGAAATTCCTTCATAGCAAGGAAAATCAAGAATTAGTCGACCGATTGACCGATTGACCGTATTGACCATTTGGTCTGACGGATTATTCCTGGTACTGTGGGCCACCAGGTCTGCATTTCAACAAATGAAACCAAAAATCACTCCGGCACATCGCACCGATTACCAATGGCTCCATGTAATCCACATCACGTTCCCGGATAGACGACAACCGGGATAAAGGTTAACAACAAAGCCACCAGAGGCTGTTCACAACGTGGCGTGAAACCATGCAAATACATAGCCTGATATGGATCGCGAGAAAACATGACCATATATACATGACACCATGTGATACAAAGACCAGTTCATGTCAACCATCCATCGTTATATAGTATACAAACTGTGTTCCAAGATATGGTGTATGTAAACTATTATATCCCAGAGACATATAGCTTGAGAATACTGTAAGAATGCATATGGTGTTTGACAACTATATAAAGAGCAGATGGCTCAGAGGCACCACATGATTGAGTATCAAACAGTGTGTATGGACCATCGGTAGCAGGATGAAAATAGTGTATGTCAACCATAGTAAGATGGATAGTTTCTATGCACTATATGCCCCAGGGAGAAATAGTGTGTCTCAACTATATGAGACAGGATGGTATCCGTGCACTGTATAACCCAGGGTGGAATAGTTTGTATGAACTATATGAGGTAGGATGTATCCGTACACTGTACAACCAAGGGTAGAATAGTTTGTATGAACTATATGAAGCAGGATGGTATCCATGCACTATACTACCTAGGATGAAATAGTGTGTATCAACTATATAACTCAGGATGGTATCCGTGCACTGTACAACCCAGGGTGGAATAGTTTGTATCAACTATATAATGCAGGATGGTATTGCTGCACTGTGCTACCTATGGTGAAACAGTTTGTATCAATTATATGACTCAGGACGCTCTAGTGCCAGACAGTCTCCTTTTTAGTGAGATCATTCAACAGTCTCGTTATTTTTGCAAAGTTTTCAACAAACCTTCGGTAGGAATTGCCTAAGCCAAGGAAGGCCCTAACTCCTTTAACGCAAGTAGGTTTAGGCCAATCCAATATGGCTTGAACTTTCTCAGGATCTATCCTGATTCCGTTCTGGCCAATTATCATACCGAGGAAGTCTATTTCCTTTACTTTAAAATTACATTTTTTGGGTTTGACAAATAGATCCCGTTCTTGTAAGCGTTGAAGGACTTCTTGCACAACCCTGTTGTGCTCAGCCTCATGGTCTGACTTTGTGAATATTAGTAAATTGTTAATGTAAATGGCAACATAGTTTTCCATATCTGCAAAGACCTCATTCATCATGCTCTGGAAGGTTTCCGGTGAATTGGTCAACCCAAAGAACATGATGAGGGGTTCAAAAGGTTCTTGGTGGCATGTAAATGTGGCCTTCCAAGCATCTTCTTCTTGGATGTGTACATTACTGTACCTCCATCTGAGGTCCATCTTTGTCAAGGTTTTTGCACCAGCCAATTTATCTAGTAGCTGACTGATCAAAGGCAGCGGATAAGCATTTTTAACCATGTAGTCATTTAAGTAACAATAGTCCATAATCATACACTTTTTACCAGCCTTTTAATGAATAACACCGGGGAAATCATAGGGCTCTTAAAAGGTCTGATGTAACCCTTCCTAAGCTGTTCAGCTATGGAACTTGAAACCTCATCTCTTTCTGGAGCAGAGAGGGGAATCATGTGTCCCTTTCTAGGTTTGAATGTATCCTTCAAATCTATAGCATGGTCCCAAGGCTTAGCCTCTGGGAAGCGCTCTAATTTATGTTTTGAAAAGACTTTCCAGACATGGTACTCTGGAGGTACTAGCCTCTTAATCTCTTCCTCAGGTTTTACCTCATCATCTTCATCATTAATCTTATCCAAAGATCTGAGTTTGGCATAAACATGACCAGCATTTATCCTTTCATCAAGCTCAGTTTGACGGACATGACTCGGTTTACCCAAGTTATCACACTTATGAGGGCAACTTGACAATGTGACAACCCCTGTTTGCCAGTCAATCTTAGGATTGTGTTTAAATAGCCAGGTCCAGCCTAATATTAAACTAATCTTCCCTAGTTGGGTAGCTTCGGTGGTGACTCATTCTCTGTGTCCTTGGTACTCGACAACAAAAGAACATTTGTGCATAATGGGTGTATTATGCCCTGGGCAAGGTTTTCCACAGATCTCCTTTTGAAATAAATATGTGCACATCAACACACACCTTGGGATTTGGTTGGAAAGTGGCTCTGAAGAAGAAGAAGAAGAGGAAACATCAAAAGAAACATGTTTTTCTATTTTAGGATTTTCTATTTTTTTATGTTTATTTTTACCAGAATCAAGCACCCTAGTATTTGTCTCGCTGGGGCCACACTCCAGAGGAGACACTGGTGGCCCTACCAATTTTTTGAACCTCCTCAGCAGCTGCTGAAAGGTCCTTGCTCCGCATATCTTGTATGTAAAGCTGTTGTGCAATGGCTGGTGACATATTGCGCTCCAACAGCTCCACCGCGTGTTCATTTCCTAGGCCCCCTTGGATAGAAAGAGACAGGAACTGGGTAACAAAATTGTCCGTCCTCATGTTCCCTTGTTTGAAGGTACGGATTTGCTAGCGCGCCCAGTCACACTCAGCTTGTGATGAAATATTTTTCGATTTCAACTTTTAACTTGTCCCAGGTAGGCCAGTGACCAGCGGTATAGTACTCCTGGAATCGTACTTGGGCGTATTGACCTGCCACAAGTCCTTTTAGTCTTGATAGCACAGTTGTTGCTATTTCAAAGTCATTGGCAAACACGTTTTCTTTGATCCACCATTCAGCAGATTGAGCCTGGTCTCCTTCAAAAGCGCCGGGGTCAGTGACGATCTTGACTTTCTTGTTGAATTTTTGCTCAACCGCTTCAGGGGGCTTTGCCTGAATCTCGGCAAGCTGTGTGGTCAACGTCAAAATCTGTGCACGCATATTGTGTAACAGAGTGTTGACGTCAGGTTGGTTGGTTTGCGATGACATGTCGACTTGTTCTCTTTGGTAACATAAAAAAAAAGGTAACTGGGGGTCCCTGCTTGCTATCTGCAGATCAACCTCTTCCCAGCTGAGTAATGGGTCTCAATCCCTGACTACCCACACTATAGTATTTGAAAAGTATAAAAAAATGTAAACATAGTAAACCCTAGTCCGAACGGTTGTCAAGGGGTGGTCCACTTGTTAAGCTGTCAAGCCTTCTCCAACTGGTGGAGGCAATGAGAGTGAGTCCTGATGTAATAACCAAGAGTTGGCATACTCTGGCGCACAACTCAGACAAAGCTATAAAGAAGTTTGAGGGGAGTGGTTACCCTTTAGATAGGACCAAGTTTGTTGTGGGTAAACAACAGGAGGACTTGCTGAGGAGTCTCCTTAATCTGTTGGGGTATATATACTACTACAGGTTTGTTTGTACATGTGTACTATATAGTTAATAGAGACAGTAGCTGATAATGTCATGGGGCCTAGCCCGCATGGCCAGCTCCACTGTGTGAGAGAGTTGTCTCTAAAATAAGAAGAAAGGCAACGCGGCACGAGAAAGAGGAGTTTGGACAAAAGGGGAAGTGCCGCATGGCACCATGTGTGAAAGCTAAAGTACAAGGTTAAAGCGGAGAATGAAAATAAAGGAAAGGTCCGAATATTGTGTTATCGTAACACACTGTAGAACCTGGGGCACTATATGACCCAATTATGTATAGCCTAAGTTTGTGTCAACAAGAAAACAAAGTGCACTCTTCAATCCAATATTACTTCAACTAGCTACAATATAATAAAACTGTTTAATATGTTTGCACTAGGAACTTTTTACATTTCCCTTACTCAGAAATGTCGCTATTGGATGTGTCAGTGACTAATTCACAATCTTCTTTGTCGTCGTCATTGAGCTTATGCAATCTTTTCAAACCATACTGAATTATCGCCCTGTAAATGTTTTTTTTTTCCTCATTGCTTCCGGAATTGATGGCGTAAACATTGTCAATGTTAAATCCGAAGGCAGAAAAAGTCTTGTGAAGGAAATATTGTAGTCATGGGGTAAATGTCTCGTCCTTCAAGCTTTCCTTGTTGTTACCCTCAGCGTCAGTTTCTCACATGGTTTTCCAGATAAAAAAATCAAGTAGCACAGCATCTTCAGGGCAGCCACAGTGCAGGTATCCTGGAACTCTTGTGTAATGCCATTGGTTCTCTTCATGCCAGCACATCGAGGAAGAGGTGTGCCTGTATTTTTGTAGTACTCCCAGAGATCCTCAGCCATTGTGCCCTTTTTGTCATTCTTGTGATGGTACAAGCAAAAAGTGTTCACATGATTGGTGGTGAGGCAGTGCAGGGCAAGTTGTTGAGAATATGTCCCAGCCTCAGGCAAGTTGTTTGCTGACATTTGGATGTACACATGTATTACATGTTCAATTGTACTTTTGGTAGGGTTGGCCAGAAACTTTTGGATTTGTTCTTTTCCCTTTCTTTGTTTCTCTGTAAATACAATTATAGTTAAAGATCATGAGTCAACTATTTGCCAGGAAGTGGATTTGGCTAACCTAGATCCCCTTTGGTCCTTAGAAGTTTAGCCTCTTTTCTAGCCTGTTTTGATCTCTTTCCTGGCCCGCCCTCATCATCTCCATTGTTCCCATCATCTTCTTGGTTACCACCCACAAGTTTCACCTCTTTGTTAGCCAGTTTCTCTTTAGCATTATCTTTCTTCACCTTTTTGCTAGGCCCTTTCATTTTTTGCTGCCAATCTTGATGTTGTTATTGTTGCTATTGTCTGATATTTCTACTTCCTTATACTGCCTCTTTTGATTCTCCTTGCTTTTTGGTTCTCCTGAATCTTTTTTTGTTGTCATTTTCCTTTCCTTTTTTCTGTTATGGGAAATTGTCTGGTCCATGTTCTCTTGTCGCTTGTGTTGGCTCTTTGAACCTTGACTTGCATTTATTGCATTGTGTAAGTTCTTGTGGATTTCCACTCCCATTTTGTCGTCTTCTCCAGTCTCTTTTGGTTTTTTCTGAATGTCTTTTCTTGCCCCTGCACTTTTTTGCTCCCCTGCAGCTGGTGCATCTTTTCTGCCCAAAAATCCTTTGTCTGCAACATCCCCACCATTCCCTGTCTTTTTATTGCCTTACTCTGCGACCACCTGTTTTTTTGCAATGACATTCTCATCATCTGCAACAATATCCTCATTCTCTGCAATGACATTCCAATTCTCTGCAATGACATTTTGACTCTGGTTCTCTGCCATGGTAGTCTGGTCATGTGCAACAACATCGTTGTTTTGTGCAGTGACATTCTGGTGCTGTGCGACAACATTGTTGTTCTGTGCAGCAACACTATAATCCTGCACAATAATATTGTGCATCTCTGCAGCAACTGTCTTGTCACTCGCACTGTCCTCTTTCTAATAAAAGTAAGTGAAACTCAGCCGCTGCCCGAGAGGCTATAGAAACGACTTTATTATTTACCTAAGTGAAACTACAATAGATGTTAGTTTAAAGTGATCTCTAATAAATATAATGTAACATACCTCAGCCGCTGCCCAAGAGGCTATAGAAACGACTGAGGTATTCCTATACTAAACCCCCTACTACTTATAGTTGGAGGTGCTACTCGCTACAGTATAATGACTCCTAGGAGTACAATTGTGCTCCTAGGAGAACAATGGTTACTTCATGGAGAACAATGGCTGCTTCGGCAGAGACCAGGTTTATCTGGTTTTGTCACTCCCACTCGAGTGCAACCGTAGTCCCATAGCTTTAGAGAATTTCCAGTGTTTTTCATGAGTGAGGGGTTTAGTGAGAATGTCTGCAACCATATCTCCTGTAGGAACGTATCTGATTACTGCCTCTCCCTTTGATACTAAGTCATCTTGGATAAAATGATATTTCCGTTGAATGTGTTTTGTGCGAGCACAGAACTGTGGATATCGTGTAAGAATGATAGCTGCTTGATTGTCACAGTGCAATGTTGTAGGTCCATTTTGAGCATGTCCAATTTCTTCAACAAATATCCAAAGCCATGCAAGGTGTTGTCCAGCATTGCTCAATCCAATGTACTCTGACTCCGTGGAGGATAAAGCTACCATGCTTTGTCTTTTGCTTGTCCAGGAGATTGCTCCTCGGATGGTGATAAAGACAAACCCTGATGTTGATTAAGACGTGTCTGGGTCTCCAGACCAATCTGCATCTGAATATCCATAGAAATCCATGTCCATGGAGACATCTGTGCCATCATATTGTAGTTCCATGTCCCTGGTTGCTTTCAGATATCGGAGGACACATTTTGCAGCTTCCCAGTGATGGCTCCTTGGAGCTGAGCTATGCCTGCTTAGTATTCCAACAACGTAGGCAATGTCTGGGCGGGTTCCGAGCATGGCATACATGAGGGAGCCTACAATTGAGAGGTATGACACTTGCATCTCGTGTTGTACAATATCTTCCCCTGGAGCATTTGCAAGGAGTTTTGATCCATGGGCCATTGGTGTCCATACTGGTTTGCAGTTTTTCATTCCAGTCCCGCAAGAAACATCTTACTAAAACACAACGTTACGTTCTTAT